CCAACAAACTCACCGGTCCGTTTAAATACTAAAAACTGGAAGCTTCCACTTTTTAGTAGTTAAATATTCTTGCATTTTTGCTCCCGGCTTAGGGAGCAAGCAAGCCCACTCAACCCCAAGTACTCACCATTCTTACAGTGGTGTAGCTTGTGCAGAGGCTGCAGCCTCTGCTGGGGCGGAATGCGCGGGGTTTTCGGCGCGATGCCCTCGGCGAGTACACGCTACAGCTGTGCCGCACGCTCTCCTGCGCGCGCGTGACGTGTGGGACGCGTGCGCTGCGCTCAAACGTCGCGATTTGGCGATAGGCGCTCGAGCCGGGGCACAGCGGATAGGTGCGCCGCGCAGGGGGGGTCGGAGGGGTGCGAGAGGGGGCGTGGGTCGGGCACGGAGGGGGAGGGAGGGGGCAGAGTGCTGCACATGTCGGATGCGATCCCCATCGCCTTTCTGCCGATGGCGCAGGCGTCGAGTCCGTCGACGTCGATCAGCGCACGCGCCTGCGGAGGAGCGGGGCGAGGGGGGCGAGGTCGGGGGTCGGGCGAGAGGCTCGGCGCGTGTAGAGGGAGCGAGGAGGGAGCGGAGAGGGCAGCCGGGGCAGGGAGGGAGTGGGAGGGGCGGTGCTAGCAGAGGCGGTGGCCCGCCGCACCGCCGCCGTCGCAAAGGCGCCGCCTGACCCGATGCCGATGATCCCGTCCTGCGACTCAAGCACCTGCGCACGCCCGTCGCGGGACGCTTCCAGGAAGGCTCGGGGCGGCGGCTGTGACTGCACTGCGGGCGGCGGCGCACGTCTCCAGTCCCGGTGAGCTGGACGTTGGTACCCGCCTCGTCCACCACGATCATCACCGCCTCGAGCCGCCGCAAGTACCTGCTCGCGCCGGCCGGCGTGAGGCGAGCGACGCGAGGGCCGCACCCGCTGCCCTCGCGGCTCACTTGTCCATCCTCCACGCCTTTGCCATCTCGACGCAGGCGCGCATCGTCTCGGGGTGCTCGGAGAGCTTCATCTCGAGGCGCTCAAACAGCGTCATCGCGTCGGCCGTCGCACCCGCGAAGCCCGCCATCACGCCGTCCTTCAGCTTGCGCACCTTTCTCGCATTCGGCTTGATGATCTGCGAGCCGAGCGAGACCTGGCCGTCGCCGATGATGAAGAGGCTGTCGCCCTTGCGCACCGACAGGATCGTCGTCGCGTGCACCTCGGCCTGCAGCGGCGCGTGGGGTGCAAGGGTCGGCGCCAGCGGTGAGCGCGGGCAGGAGCGACGCACGCAGAGCGGCGCCTCGTGCCAGCCGCCGAGGTGATGCCGGCCGCCGCCGCCGTGTCCACGCCGACCGGGGCCGCGCGAATACAGTGCGCTGGCAGTGCGCAGCACATGTGTCGGAGCTCCAGGCAGGCCCGCTCGTCGGCAGGCAGACAGCATGACGGCCTACGCTGCGCACGAGTACGCCGAGGGAGGGTGGCGCGGTTTGAGGAAGTGTCTTTTCACGAAACAAAGAAAAACACCAGCTCGAGGTGCGCTCCCGCTACACGGCCGCCCTCTCTCACCTTCCTGACCCCGCGTTGCGCCTCCTTCAGAACCAAGTGAGCGTGACCAGAAATTGAAAAGTCATGTTGTCAATGGTGGAACAAGTCTGGTGGGGACCTGTAGGGCCCGTCCTGATCCCCAGTTCCCGTCGGAGTAGGACGCGCTCCAGGCCGGCATGTACGAGATGGCCGACGCGCAGGGGTGCATCAACACGTACCTGCCGCAGCATGTGACGCGGAACCGGATTCTCGACTTTCAGGGTGAGACGTGGAAGGACAAGCGCGACACGGAGCGGCCCAACAAGAACTATGCGCGCGCTCCGGGCTGGTCGAAAAATTCGTCTTGCCAGGGAGGGATGGGAATAGAGTAGGCAGTAGCCAGGCGGGGCTAGAGAAAATTCTTTTCATCGCTTTGCTGAAAGATCAGGCGCCTGAATGGCGACAGTGAGCGTCTGGTCTCCTACTTATGGATTGCGCTCGAGGTACGAGGAGCGCAAGAGCGCGCCGCAGGCGAAGCGTTTATGCATATGCTGCCGGCAGGCGTGTCGCGTGAGGCCGACGGCGACATCCGAGGGGGCGAGTTTTTCTTCTTTGCCCCGCCAACGTGTTCTCCGGGTGTGCGCTGCATCCCCCCCCCCCCCCCCCCGCGCGCTCCCGCCCGTGCCCCGTTGGTGAGTACGAGTAATGCCGAATCCCATTGCGCGGCACCGCACATCCTCCACAGTCTCTCCCTCCAACATCCCATACACGTCTGACCGCCCCTCGCGCCCTCCATCAGGCGCGCAGGGTGCAAGCTGTGATAGGAGAGGGCCAAGGTGCCGTCGCATTCCCCCGTGCGCCCCGCCTGCGCCCCTGCACGTCGGCGGCTTGCCTTCCCTCATGACGCCTCGTCTCCACGGGTTCATCCACACGCCATGCGACCTGACTGCTGCCACAATGTGCGACCTGTGCTGGCCCACTTGCGACTTGGCGGCCTTCCAGGTCAGTGGTGAGCCAGCCCTGGGTGGCGCAAGATCTGAGGTTTTGTGACAATCCTCAGATCCGTGTTTTTCTCGTTGTTTTGTCGCTCGCTCCGCTCGCCACCTCACGCTCCGTAGCCCGGCCATGGCCAGTACCCCGCGTCTCAGTGAGACGCGTGGTACCATCCAACTCCGGTCGACGGGCTCGAATGCGCTCAGCCTCAGGAGGGACAAAACCGCGCGAATTCTGCACTCCTCGCTGCACCGCTGGCTTGACTGAATCAGGCAGCAGCAGGCTGCTGCTGCTGCCACAGCAGCAGTCTGCTGCGGCCCTAATACGCAAGTTGATGACTAGCAGCACTGCCGGGGGCATTCGAGCCGCCACAGCCGGTGTGCGGCTGTGCACTGCCACCTGCCCGCGGCTACGCACAATATGCGCTCGCATTGGATGAGCCCTGCTGATGGACCTGCATCGCCTAGCTGCACGAGAGCAATGCCGCAGGCAGTGGCCGTGGCATACACTGCGAGCACACTTGGTGCAGCTGCGAGGTGCAGCAAGAGCACGTCGTTCCTGCCTCTGATGCCACTCTCGCGGCTTGCAGCGCGTCACTCGCGCATGCTCTCCAGGAGCTATGGCGGGCGCGTGTGTGGGGCTGTAGCCTGTGTTTGGCCGGTTCTGACCCGTTTACTATCAGTATCATGTCCGGGCCACAAAAGATCGCACACGGGTAGCGGCTCAGGGGCCCAGTAAGTCGCGGAATCGCCAAATGTCACAACCTGCGCCACCCAGGGCTGGACCTAGTCGGGGCGTCAACAGGCCGCGCGGCGGTCTCTCTATCGGCATGTCGCAGTCTCGCAGAATTGGCATCCCGTCGTCACACGTCAGTCAGTTTGGCGCGTCACATCCCTTCTAGACACGAGCTTGTTTGTCAATCTCAGACACGAGCTTGCCGTCTTGCCTCAAGCGAAGCACAAGGGATAATATAGTTAATACGGACCTACGCCAACGTCTCACATGCGCGAGAAGAATTCAACGACACCCCTCGCCTTATACTTTAGATGAAATTAAAAATCCTCGCGGGCCCCACCCACCACCCTACCCCCCCCCGGTCACCTACGCCTATCTCGTTACCTGGCCACGGCGCGCACACGCGACACGGGTGGGGGCCCCCGGATCCGCCGGATGTGGGGGGGGGGATCGGCAGGCTGTCAGAGCACAGAGGACACCCCGGAAGTGCAATGGTTCTCTCTCCACACTCCCGTCCAACAACTAGAATGAAACCTTTTTGCGAGGCCGAGTGAATAAATAACTAAGTCACATCGAAACGGGAGGGTTAATGTTGCTGCTGCTGCTGCTGCTGCTGCTGCTGCTGCTGCTGCTGCTGCTGCAACGCACCGCCGGCAGACTCGACCGCTGACTCGTCCACTCGCTCCCCCTCGATTCGCACCACCCGCAGCAGCGGCGAGGAGCTGCGCGAATCGATGCGGGCGGGCGGCAATTCTCTCAGTGCGAGCGCGAGCCCGAGAGCGCCGCACGCCGCGGTGGCGAGGTTCTGCACGAGGGGGGGCAGACGCCAGCTCGGCACGAGCAGGAAGCCCACCGACCAGCCGAGAGACTGCACCATCTTGTAGAAACCCACGGCGCGCGCGAGCTCGTCGCCGCCTGCTCGCAGCAGGAGGGTGTGAAGGACCGTGATCACAGCCGCGCAGCGCGCGCGAGCCGCCGCCGCCCGAGTGCAGCTGCCGCAGGAGCCAGTACGCGTACGCCTGGACCTGCGAAGAGTCGGGGAGGCGAATGATGAAAATTAAAATGAGAAGGTGGTGGTGAGGATGCCGATGCGCCTGCGAGTCGGAGAGGCCCCACAGGAAGAAGGCGAGCGACGGGACCGCAACGCCTGCTCGAGCGTCGAGGAGTGAGGAGGCGGTCTGCTGAGGCGGTGAGCGGCGCCGTCGCGACGCCTTCTTCCCCGAGCTGGAGGCGAGGGGTGGAGCAAGTTGGCCAGTGCGCGCGCGCCGCAGGCACCTGCGAGGGGGGGGGGGGGGGGGGGGGGGAAAAAATTCCAACCCGCGAACGGGCCCCCCCGGGGAAAGGGGGGGAAAAGAACCCGGGCCCGGCTTCCGGAAAAAAATTCCCCCCGGGGGGCCCCTCCACCGAAAAGGGCAACCCCTAAGCCGCGGAAGTGGGGAGGCCCAAAGGGGCCAATTGGGGCAACCCCCCCGCCCTCGGGGTGGAGGCGGGGTCCAACGTCCATCCGGGGAGGGGGGGGCCCAGCACCTAATTAGTTTATGGGTTCCTTGGGGAGCCCGGGGGGGGTTCCCCCAAAACCTCGGGGAAACCCCAAAAAAAGGTTGAAGCCCATTTCCCCGGGTCTCGGGTGGGTCTCGGGTGGGTCTCGGGTTTTTTT